ATTATATTTTTAAACAGCCTGTTTGGCTACCTTTCACTCCTAATTATAGTGAAATGGTGCACTGGTTCACAAGCTGATTTGTATCATGTAATGATATACATGTTCTTGAGTCCTACTGACGATCTGGGTGAAAACCAGCTTTTTTTGGGGCAAAAATTCATTCAGGTTTTGTTATATTTCCTTGGATTAGGCCACCATCGTGTGTGACACCAATATTAAGAATGCCTCGTGTTTAATTACAGATTTTGTTACTACTATTGGCTCTTGTTGCTGTGCCATGGATGCTGTTTCCAAAGCCTTATCTGTTGAAGAAGCAGCATGAGGAGGTTCGCTTGAAACTATAGTCTTAAGATATGTTTCATGCGTTCTACATTCCTCTATTTATACCTTTTATTGATATCCTGTTTCCTCAGAGACACCAAGGTCAATCCTACGCGCTGCTTCACGGCGGTGATGACCCTCTTGAAGAGGACCACCATCAAAGTTTGCATGGTCATGAGGAATTTGAATTCACCGAGGTCTTTGTACACCAACTCATACATACCATAGAGTTTGTGCTCGGAGCAGTGTCTAATACAGCTTCATATCTACGTCTATGGGCACTCAGGTGAGTGGCTAACAACATAAAACTTATCATTTAATAGTATCCATGCTTCATTAGGCATCTACAATGCATGCGTTTGCTTAGTTGCACATAAAAAAAATGTTGACACTTGTTAGATTATTTGAATATAAATTCTACGATGATGATCATCTCGTTTGTCCTTGTCTTGCTTTCTTCAGTTTAGCTCATTCAGAGCTGTCCAGTGTATTTTACGACAAGATTCTACTTCTAGCCTGGGGGTAAGTTCTTTTACTTCATCTTTTTGCCGTTTTACTGAACTTTGAGATCTTAAAAGAAAGCAGAGTAATTAATCAATCTCTTGGGAATTACTGCAGGTTCAATAATGTCATCATCCTAATCATTGGCATAATAGTTTTTATATGTGCAACTGTTGGAGTGCTTCTAGTGATGGAGACTTTGAGTGCATTTTTACATGCCTTGAGGCTTCACTGGGTGGAGTTCCAGAACAAGTTTTATGAGGGCGCTGGTTACAAATTCTCCCCCTTTTCATTTGCGTTACTCAGTGAAGAGGATGAATGATGCACTGCCATTTTCATATGTACATTTTTGTTGTTGTGTACATATGGTAATTTTCGAACAGCTAACGATTGTGACAAGAACAAAACGATAGAATTGTATTGATATTAATCAACATACAAATATACTAATACAAAAGTGTGAGAATTCATTCGTTCATGATCTTACCTCAAACTAATATAATGTATCTATTCAACTGAAAACCTCATTTGTCAACAAATACAAGCGATATTGAGGGAACCGGAATTTAACACAAGAGGTTGGTCGCAAGGGTCCAATCCGAAAATAAGAAGCAATACGGATTTAGGCTCAGTGTAAGGCCTTAGTACTACTACAGAGCCCAATAAGCGACTAGGTAGGCCATAGCCCTCATAATCGCGGCCCATTATGTGACTGATTTGTTAGCATTATTTAAGGCTTGGTAAGATTAGGGGTGGGTCAAATATGATTAGAGGTTTGAGAGACGTGAAATGACTTGACTTTGAAGGTTTGAAACAACGTTAACATCTACAAATTTCGTAATGGACGCAAAGCTATTTTGATCCAGCTACGACCCTACTATACTATGCCTGCAAGCTAAAATCCAGAGGTTCCACATTTAAACCAGCTAATTACATCGACCATGACTTCTCTTTGACCATTGGTTTTCATAAACAAAAGCGCGCTTCTCCATCGTCGTTTTACAATGAGTTCATAAAGCAAGCTCTGCCTGCCTGCCTGGGAGTCTGAGTCTGAGCTAGCTAGCTAGCTCTGATTCCGTCAAAGAAACTCCGTAGCATGTTAAATCAGACCGGGAGACCGTGATTTCTTTCTTTCTTTCTTTCTTTCAAAGATGGTGATGGGTGAAGGACGGAAAGTGTTTGTATGATACTCCATCTCCATCAATATTGTTTGTATATTGATTGGTCCACCACATCGAAATGCGAACCAATTAGCAAACCCAGAATGAGACTGCCACGTTTGAACCAGTCCAAGTTTAAGCCTAACCCTTTTCCATTTTTGGTAAATGGCCTTCTCTTCTAGTTTAAAATCTGCTCTTTAATACATTTGGGTCTCTTGCCTTGTTCTATAAAACCTAATTGTTCCAGTTTCAGATCAGATTGAAAGCATAGCAGAGAGAGAGAGAGAGAGAGAGATGGCGAGGGGTAAGATCCAGATCAAGAGGATAGAGAACGCGACCAATAGGCAGGTGACCTATTCCAAGAGAAGGAACGGGCTCTTCAAGAAGGCCCATGAGCTCACTGTTCTCTGTGATGCCACGGTTTCTCTCATCATGGTTTCCAGTTCCGGAAAAATCCATGAATACATCAGCCCCTCCACCACGTACGCAAATCTCTCCAACCCTATTATATTAGTAGCTAGGTTTTTCTTCAACTAGCTAGCTAGTCTACAATGAGCTTTTTTGTTTTTTGTTTTTTCACTTGCTTATATCATAAATTTGTGTTTAGAACAAAGCAATTTTTCGACCAGTTCCAGAAGACTAAGGGAGTCGATATTTGGAGCTCGCACTATGAGGTTTCTCATTCATCATTACTCTCTCTCTCTCTCTCTCTCTCTCTCTCTCTCTCTATATATATATATATATATATATGTGTGTGTGTGTGTGTGTATAATTGTGTGGTTATGTGTGCAGGCAATGCAAGAGCATTTGAAGAAGCTGAAAGAGGTGAATAGGAGTCTGCGGAAGCAGATCAGGTAATTAATATTATAAAGGCCTTATTTTTCTTGCTCTTTTTTTATCATTTTCCAAATTAAAGTATAATGCGCGTGATGTCTGTTGATAGGCAAAGGGTACTAGGTGAATTTTTGAACGATATGAGTTTTGATGAACTGCTTGGTGTTGAGCAAGAAATGCAAGGCGCTGTTGATGTTATTCGCACGCGCAAGGTTGTATGTGTATATCTTTTGGTTTCCAGTTCTTTAATTATTATGATTGTTGTTGTCATTGCTCTAGCTCTTAGTACTCTGGTAGTTGTTTCTTTATTATTACTTTTTTAGGATGAGTGATTTAATTCATAACACAACACAACAAAGTATACAGTTTACACATAAGTTCCTTCAGTAGAAAATTCATTTTTATTGTCTTTCCAAAAGAATAGCTCTACTTTTAAAGTTTCAGTTGTCTCATTAGATCATTAAAGATTAAGTAAATCCATTGCCAATCTGATACATATAGTTTGAATGAAAATACCAACAATTATTAAGTCACTGTTTGAGCGGTTCTCAGATCAACTTTGGCCTTCCCCCTTGCAGTTATAGATGTAAGTGGACGTGCTCCTTTTTCTTTGCCATTTTGCCATCCATTTTACCATCCATTTTGCCAGTTTGTACTTTGTATTTCTAGTTACGAGACATTAGTACATATATGCATAAACAGGCAGGAAGTTTTTGCAGCTGCAAAGTGGGTGGAAATAGTGTTAGCTAGCTATATAGTAACTTGTATAGCCATAGTTGTTGTTCTGTTTGTGGATGCCCCCATTACCCTGTCTAGCAGACTCTTGCTAGTTGTTCTCCATTGCATGTGACTTGTGGAACATTGAATTTTTCCCAATCTAACGTTGCGTATCTGTACAACGATGGACAGATTCGAATGATCTCTAACCAGATTGATACTATGAAGAAAAAGGTATCGCTAATTGACAATGTATATGTAATTGGACCCCTTTTGTCCATTGATTTGTGTTTGTCCTTTCAGTGGGTGGTAGAGGGTTCCTTCCGGGAGCTAGCTCTATCTATAGCTTTAGCTTATTCATAAGGTTGTAAGATTGTACTGATTGAATCTCTGTTTTTTTTTTCTCCTCCTCACCTGATTACAGATACGGAGTGCAACAGAAATGAACAGGAATCTCCGTGAATTTGTATGCAGTGTGCCTTAAAGCTTAATATTCTCTTTGTGACTCAAATATATTATTCTTTGGTTTTTAACCTCGGTTTATAAAAGAGCCTTCTTTTTGTTGTTGTTTTGTTTGTACTTTTGGTTTGATTAAGGATGCAAGGGACGACCCGCATTATCGATTAGTTGAGAATGGAGGAGAGGATTATGAATCTGCTTTTGGCTGCTCATCAAAGGGAGGCCCTCGCATATTTGCTTAAGGCTGCAGCAGGATGCCATCCTAGCCTTCACAGTGGAGCAGGATCAGATGTCACCACCACCTATGCCTTGCTTTGACTTTGAGTGGCAGGCAGGGCACCTCTCTCTGAGACTGATATCACTCCAGGAATTTAAACAACAGTTTGGTTAATTACCCATGTATTGTATTGTTGATTGAAAATGAAAATAGTTGCTTGGTTTAGCTTCGACAAACAATGGCTGTTGTTGATGAAGATATTCTGACTTTAAAGGCCTGGCCTTTTCGTCAAAGGTCGTTTCTTTCTTTAAATATTCAGATTTCTTTGATTTCTGGAGGGCTCAATTCTCCAAGCTTGGAATTTGTTGGTCTAACTTTTGTGAATCATCATGTCCATAATTTTATTTTTTTGGTTGAGTTCCAAAATTAGATCATAACTTTTCTTAAACTAAAATTAAAAAATAGGAAGAACCGCAAGAGGACATTAGAACTTCCAATTTTAACCAGCCAGCCAAACACGTTATTAGACTAGATGCCCAAAATTGATGAACAAATTTGGTAATTAGAGCACTATTATTTCCTATACCAAAAAACATGCCTTTTCTCACCAAACTAAAAACAAAAATTTAACACATGCCTTCCCGAATTCTCATCACTTCCAAATAAAAATAAAAAAGGACACATAATTTGGAGGAGGGACTCTTTGGTCAATGGTCAACCCGTGTACGGAGCAAAGAGTCCGCGGCAACCTGCAAGTCCAGTTATACTCTATCTCTCGGATACGCTCTCTCTCTCTCTCTCTCACCCCAACAAGAGAGAAAAGGGCTGAGGGAGTTGGCACGTGCCCTAAACTCCCCAACCCCACCACGTTGAAATCTCGGTCACCTGACCGACCCGACCCGAGAGAGAGAAGCTGAAGACACCGAATTGGCTGTCCACGTTTCACAAAACCTCTGTAAAACCTTTGCTTTTTTGGTTTTTCTTTCCCTCTAAAACCCCTCCAAGCGTCCAAGGCCTTCTTCGTCGCTTTCACCTCTTTTTCTTCGTTCCCTTTCTCCAAGCTTTTTCAATGTTTCACTCCGTCACCGAGGACACGCACACTCTGCAGTGAGAGAGAGAGAGGCTAGCTCATGGGCAGTCAAGCCATGAGCGCTCTTGTTCCATTCTCTCCTTGGATTCCCGAGGATGATATTTTGCTCAAGAACGCGGTTGAGGTACCAATTTCATCTTTTTTTCTTTATTATGTTGATTAAAATTGGCTCCCTCTTTCGACCCATTTCGTGAAATTTGATGCTCTTGCTCCAATCTATCCTTGCGTATTGACCTGGATTTCGTTGGCATTTTTTTCTTCATATAATATTATGTTTGTATCTATTATTTGTTTTGAAAATTTGGGTTTTTAGTATTAGAGCATGAATTGTTTGAACAAGGCATTCCAGGTTTATCTTTTGCAAATATCTAATAGCCCGTGCCATGGAGTTAAATTTCAAGGAATAGAACCAAGAAATTGGACAAATGTGCTAGACATAACGGAAGATGAAATAATGTTGTCCTGTGCTAGAATCATTGTTAGCAACTTACCACTGGTTTCCCTGCTGACGTATGCTGTATCTTAGCTCACGACTATTGAGTGTGTCGAGTCTGAGTGGAATTGCCCTGGTGCCCCTTTCAGAATTAAATTAGGATTTGGCATTTTTCAGAGCGATGATTTTGACCATAAATAAATTCATCATACAAGGACAATTGGAAGTTAGTATTTTTTATATGTTATAACTGCTGTCATATTAGGTTGCAACTATATCTATTCTCCAAAGTTTTAATGGATTTGTTACTCTTCTATTCTATTTTCAGGCTGGTGCTTCTTTGGAGTCACTTGCTAAAGGGGCAGTGCATTTTTCTCGAAGATTTACTATTCGTGAACTGCAAGATCGGTGGTATTCTCTCCTATATGATCCGGTTGTTTCTGCCAACGCTTCTGCTCGCATGGTTGAGTTCGAGTGTTCCACTCCAACTCTCCCTATAGATAGACCGGGAAATTCAAAAGAAAACAAATGTGAATCTGGAAAGAGAAAAGCTGAAAGTGTTCGCAGTTGTTACTATGCTCTGCGTAAAAGGATCTGCAATGAGCCATTTAACTCCATGGGCCTTAATTTTCTTGTTCAACCCAGTAATATTAATTATGTTGGAAATGAAGATGAGCCTCTTTATGGAAATTGCATGACTGGAGATCCGACCCCTATTGGCCTTGAGAGGTCAGATATGGATACTCTTCAAAATCTGATGGATGGTGGTACTGCCACTGGCGGTGTAGTTACTGCTGATACCTTTAATACAGGACTCCAGATTCCAGCCGAAAGTGATTTTCATATGGAACAGGATAATATACATAAAGAAGTTCCTCACATTCTTGGAGACAATATGCCCTTCAGACGGAATGGATCTGAGGTGGAGGAATTCAATCAGCCAAAGGAATTGCCAGAGTGCAGCTTGTTCAATGCTGATGACTTAGGAATGGAACCTCCGTATACACTTGATCAAAGTAATGGTGACGATGGAAATATGTGCACAAAGTTTGAAGGGAATCAAACCTTTAATTCATCCGTTTCAGACAATGGTGCATCGTTTCACAACTTGGAGTATTCATCTCCACTTCCTGGGATGCCTATCTGGAGAACAGGTGCAGAACCGGCTATGCCAGTTGATGTCGATGTTGGTCTTGGGGAAAATGATCTATGCACCAGCGATACTTTTGAACTTCCTGATGATATTGATGCTAACAACACAAGAACATCAGAGTATGATGTTCAACTGGGGATGGAGGTGAAAGCTGACATGCCATGTGGTGATTTCAAGAGTGCAGCAGCTCCTGCGAGTACTGAAGGTTATTTGGCAGAATTGTCCAATTCACTTTTAAACTTTACTAATGAGGAGCTCATGCTCATGACTGCTGATGGAAAAGACGTGATTGATAAGTCTTACTATGATGGCCTGAGCTCACTTTTGTTGAGTTCACCAAATGATGATGCTCGTCAAGAACAGACAATTGATATAACTGAGCCAGAAACATCTGTAGCTCCAGTGATGTATTCCATGAATCCATCAAGTTCGGATCCTGGAGTGGTAGATGACACTAAGGGGTCCCAAAATGCTGATGAACATATGGCTTGTCATTCGGAGACTCTGATGCAATCATCTTCAACAGCTTCAAACTATCAATATCCTGAACTGAAAGATGGAGTTATCTGCTGCACATTAAACACCGAGGACTTGGAAATTCCATGCAATGATGATGTTTTTATACCAAATCATGTTCTCCAGTCATCAACTTTCTCTGAAGTAGAATGGGATTTGCAAGAAGTGAATAAGCTAATATCTTCATCCAGTAATGATTTACCTGTCAATCAAAGAAATAGTGACACAGGGCCATGCTTTATGCGCACAGAGAAAAAAAAACCTGGAGAACCTCATAGGTCTTCTCCAATTAAAGGATCACACCACTTACAAGAAATGGATCCAAAACCTCCACTGGATAATTTTGGGGTTAAATTTGAGCTGTCCAAGACTGACCCCAGCGAAGTGGCTTCTAAGAATCCAGGTCATGTGAGTGAAGGTCTAGGTCAGATTTATTCAGCCAATCCAAATACAAATCCTGTACCTGGAATTCTGGAGACTAGACAAAGTATATTGGCAAAGCGCCTCAGCTATAAGTCAACTGAGCTTCGTATGGAGAAGCCAGATCTTGATTATAATAGTTTTAAAAGCTATCCTCAGACAAATGCTCGTGTCAGTAAACAGGAGCTTGATCCAACTGCTACAAGTAGAGATCATAAAACATTACATGCAGAAGTGATGCCTGAGCATAATGCTGTCTCAGAACCAGAATTAAGCCCACGGACGTCAGATCAACTGGGGCTTTTTGAGAGTGATGATGATGTACCATGTTATTCGGATATAGAGGCAATGGTGAGTCCTAAACACCCATCATCTAGTTGATAGGTGTTTATTTTGCTTTCAATTTCTTAATTTATCTTTCAGTTTCCTTGACTATTGTTCCACCTGCAGATACTTGATATGGATTTGGATCCAGATGACCAGGACTTGTATTCTCGTGAGGACGGTAATACTCAGTCTAGCTATTATTCATTCGATGACCAGCTGAGTACTTAAATTTTTTTTTATACAAGAACTTATATGCACTTCTCTTCTGCCAGTCAAATCCTCTAAAAACTGGTGCACAATAATTTAATGCGTTAGTTTAATGATTGAATCCATTTATTTTTCTTTGGGTTTGGAATTTTCTGTGTATTATAAGCTTGCTTCTTCAGATGTTTGTTTAATTGTATGTGACATGCATGCTTAACTGACAGATGATATGATTTCTACTCAACTATGTAGGAGTTATTCTTGCTATACATATAGTTTGCTTCACGATTTCCCTTTTCCCTACCATTTTTTCCATATTGTTTCAGTATTATCTTATTCTGTCTATTTTGTTCCTTGGTGGCTCAGCTAAAATTTTATCCAAATAAGATATGTAAAACGATTTCATCATATGCCTTGTAAGTTTTAAGAAGTTCTCTATGTGCAGTCTCAAGATATCAGCATGAGGACACTAAGAGGAGAATCATAAGGCTGGAGCAGGGTGCTTATTCGTATTTGCAAAGAGCCATTGCATCTCATGGAGCATTTGCCATTTTGTATGGGCGTCATTCTAAGCATTATATTAAGAAGCCAGAGGTATTTCTTTGCTCTATGAATTCTAACTCAACTACTTGGGGTTGGCTAAGAGGGCTGTTCTTTTGCCTTTTTCTGTATCTGGGGTTGGTATTGGGTTTTCACCCCATATCTACATTTGGAAGTGATTCATGAATTATGGAGCTAGAGTTCTGTGTATTACTTGACGACTCTCCTAAATTGTAAAGCAGGAGTTCTGTCTAGGTATTTTGCAGTGATGGGCGTAATTTTCCGGAAAAAATGGAAAAGAACCAGATTAATAGATTATGATTATTTTTATTAAGTTTCAAAGCTTTCACAACCCTTATTCAATCATAAGGTTTTGAACTTATCTTTTTCAATCAATAGGGGTTTCAATGTATTATAATATGGACCAGAGGAAGAAGATGAAAACTAATGGTTTCTAAGCCAGACATGGGTTGAATCTGTTAATGCATAGTTATCTTCTTTGCAGGTTTTATTGGGTAGAGCAACTGAAGATGCGATTGTTGACATTGACTTGGGAAGAGAAGGACGTGGTAATAAAATCTCTCGACAACAGGTAAGATTATTGTTGATCACCTCAACATTTTAACCATACCAGTGATACAATTACTTGCCCTTTTCCTTCCATGAAATTTGGAAATGCAGATTGGTTGAAAATGAAAATGCACGGTCACCAACCATTGCATCAAAATCTAATAGTGAGGATGAATTCCAAAATGTAAAAAATTTTGTCGTGATTTGAACTGGGGTTGAACGTTAACTGTTGGATTTTGATTTGTTGGTTGGTGACCATGGATTTGCATAGTTCCTTTGATCATGTGATCAAAACCATTTATGTAAGCTCTATCTTTTCTTTTGCTTACATCTTCTTGCTAACCCATATAAGGTGATATATTTTTCTCTGTCTTAAAGTGAGTGTAAATAGTTCTTTTCTGCATTTTTTAGGCAATGATAAAGATGGACAAAGGCGGATATTTCTATCTGAAAAATCTTGGGAAGTGTTCAATCTCAGTAAATAGCAAGGAAGTAGCCCCTGGACAGAGTCTAAGCCTTAGTTCGAGCTGCTTGATTGAGGTATGTTCTTACAGTTCCCTTTACTAAAAATAATTCGTAGGTCTCTGCATCTTTATTGCAGATGGCTCAGATTTCTTTACTGTTTTATATGCAATATGTGTGTGGTTGTGTGTGGCTGCATGGCTGTGTGTGGAGCTGACAGTCAAACCTCTAACTTCGTTTTTACACTCATCAATTTTTATGCTTGGTAATCTAAACGCTCAATACATAGTTTTTGTTAATGTTATTTTAAGTCATTGATGGGCCCTGCTATTTCTAATCAATTGGGTTGTCAGCTTTATGTTTCTCAGTGTTGATTGTAGCCTTGTTAATCAAATCCATTATGTGTCATTCCTAGGGATCTTTAACCATCTCCAACAAGTCCATTTGCTTATGAGGTCCATAAGATCTTAATTGATGTATGAAAGCAATACGGTATATAGATCTGAGTTCAGAAACTTTGTGTTGGTCGGGATCGATGATAAGAACCTTTGGCTTGATCTGCGACAGTGCATGGTTTGATTTTTAGACTGAAATCAGTTGAAAAATTCTCAATGTTGATTGAACCGAAATAGGGTTTTTGTTACTTTGATCTATTTAGCAGCTTTAGTGGACGGGATAGTTAGGAACCATGAAATGGCCGTCATACATTGTTGAAGGATCCTAGGCAGCCCTGGGCACAATATCCATATCAAGCAAGTGCTAAATATAAATATATCAGATAATTGGGGTTTTCCCCCACTATATGAATCTCCAGCAAAACCCTAGAATTATAATGTAGTTAAGCTGGCACATATTTAGGTACTACTACTGACTGAATGCATGATTATATTTCCTAAAAAATGATGAATTTGCAGATTAGGGGAATGCCGTTCATATTTGAGACGAACCAAACTCGTGTGAAGCAGTATATGGATAGCATGACCAAGGTTAGCTCAAAGCAAGAGTAGAGACATAAGAGCACCAATTGTGAATGATAATGGAGGTGCCGTGAACGGTATTGTATTCGGAAGGTGCTAATTTTTCCTGCAGCTTCTGGGTTCTCTAGTTAAGCCACTTTTCTGTTGTATGTAACTACTGTTGAAGGTGGTCTGAATCTAAGAAGGCATTTGTTTTCACATGTCGTTTAAATTTACATGATCGAGCATTCGCTTAATATGAATGCACAGCATATAGTATACCTGACGAAAGAGAAGAAAAAGTTGCACCACGATTAGGAAGAGATATATAGTGTTCACAAGGACTGGCAGGTGACAGGAGTGATTTTAAAGTTTCATAATGGAATGGAAAGGCGCGAGATGTTTTTTTCAAATTTTTTTCGGGGGTCAGAGGAAAGGCAAGATCTTATTCAACTATGAATCTGCATTTACATTCACTGGATGATAATTGTGTACTTTCACGTGTCCGGTTTGAATCTCAAATTACATGGTATAGATTTCACAAAAAAGAATTTGGGGGAAGAGTTATTTTGTTCTCTTTGAAGTTAATACACCTGCCAATGCCATTCAATGCAAGTGTAGTTGAAGCCATATGTTCTACGCCTAATTTCTGACAGTTGATTGATGAACAAATATGAAAGTGAAACCAACCAAGATTCACAATATATCCAAAGTTAAAGAAATTAAATCAAGCCAGCTAGGGAGAGCTAGGGTGCCATTTTGTTGGTTGGCCTGAGATTACCAAATGGGTGAGCATCTGAAAATAAATAAATAAATAAAAGCATCCTCACTGAAGAAGGATATAATGGAATTAGGAGTGGTTGCAAGTTCTGTGATCCCAATATAATGGCCTCTTGTCTTGAAAGAGGCTAAGAGGCGGGCAGGCAATGTCCTCCTCCTCCTCCTAAGGGAAATCGTTACTTATCATCCTTTTCTTTCCTTCCAAGTTCCAACGCCTATGATTGATATGAATCATATATGATCTTATTCCTCCCTATATATATATATATATCCTAAGTTTATATTTTAATTACTTTTGAAAATAGTAAAGAGCCTTTTGGCTCACGTACATAAAGCAAAGCATGCATGTTCCCCCCACACATACACGGGACAAGTCGACAAGGACAACCTCTGAAACCAAACTTGTATATTTATTTATTTATATATTTTCTGACTTCTCTGAACTGATCAAGTTCTCAACTCAAAGTATCAAAGCCCATATTCTCTCTCTCTCTCTCACGATCATGCCTATGCCCATGCCCGTGTGCCCATGCCCGTCCCCATATGAATATGATCCCTTCCTTCCTCAATATTTTACCCTTTTTCCTTTTTCTTTTATCCTCACACCCTCTTCACATCTCTTATATATATTTTACACTGAGGCGACTGAGATGGGTTATGGGTTATGGGTCATGGCACATGCCAAGCAAATAGCGAGACAGAGTAGTTGTGGACAATATTGCATCTTGCCTCCTGGGTCCTGGCGATGGTGTGCTAATAATTTACTTTGCCTTGCCCTCATTAATTATGTATTCATACGTGGAAGATCTCGGAGAAGACAGAGAGACAGACCTAAGTATTCATTTTGTTTAGGTTTCTAGTTGGGGCGGCATGTCCAGTTCCAGTTGGCTTTGTTTTTTGTTTTGTCTATTTCACAGAACAGAAATCTGCGTGTTGAAGAATAAGATTTAAGGGGGATTTGGAGGAAGAAGGAAAAAAAAAACCAATAATATATAATAGTTGATAGATAGATGAAAGAAAGCTCTGAAATATGCCAATGCCGCTTGTGCATTGTGCAAGCAAGCTTATTACATATTTTCCTTCCTTCCAACGTATAAGAAAAAAAAGGAAGAAGATGGTGATTGATTACGATGAATATTAATATTTCATGCTCATCATTTTGATCTTCGCAATCGCGTGATTACCCTACATTCACTGTCAAAGGTCAACTTCATCCTCTATACTTTTATTAAAGGAATTTAACTTGATTTATTATTAGGGTTTATATATAATAAGAAGAATATCCTCCTCACAGCACAGAGCACAGAGCACAGAGCTGCACAGGTCACAGTCTCACAGGAGCGCATCTGTACAGCTTATTGCGCCTATAAAAATATCTAAAATTGGTGCCGGTGATTTATAGATATTTTATATATAAATTATGCTTGATGGGGTGACCTTCCTCTTCTTCATGTTATATATTAATTCCAGCCCCAGCACTTCTATTTTTCCAAATTCCTGTCCAAATGAAAACTATTCGAATCTAACATTAATAAACCATATAATTAACAGTACGAGTCCGACAACACCTATCTTTAGTCCCTTTCTTAATTTTGCCATCCCTTCAAGATTATTTAACTCTCAGACATATAATTTTTTTTAATCTGAGTTATAACAATGTTGTTTCTTTTTCTTTTTTGTACAATTATATTATCCATATGCTTAGGTAAATGCTATATATTAACTATAGTTAACCGAAAAGAAAACTGCTATTAGCTATATAATATACGAGCATCTACAATCATGCTTCTTATTTTTTTAGTTAAAATTTAGCTAAAAATACACAAAAGTTATTTTAGGAGCTCTTTATAAAATTTGAACTCCAATCATACTCCCTAATTTAGAGAGTCATAAATACTATAGTTATTTTTTAATTCAATATGATTGGTCTCCCTATTTTAGGAGGTGGATAGAAAGCATAGTTGGAATTGTATTTTTCCAATTTCTTCCTAAAGAGGTTTTTAAGAAACCTATTGTGGATGCTCTAAGAGGCTTTGAGCACAAACTAGAAATAAGCCTAATTAATTAGAGTGCGTGCACATGAGACATGACAAAGCATGCATTAACTTTTGTGGCACCACTTATTTTTCAAGTGCTGTAATTTTTCCAAAACCTATATTGGTCAACAATTTGCTTTTCTTTTCAGGGATCCCCCGACATTAAAAAATTTATAAACAAATGAAATACAGCATCACTTTGGAATTCAGAATTCAGAATTCAGATGGATAAGGATTCTCTCCAGTCCATTTTGCCACCTTTTTTCACATCAAAGGCTTAAAATAACAGGAAATTAACTGTTTTTTATTTTGAATAATGAAGGAAGGAATCAAACAAGTTCATCATACTGATCATTAGTTATCATTCTGCTAAACAGTCCATCCCAAAAAATTTATATTCAAAGTTTCAACGACAGGCTTTCTGATTATCAAAGGTGTTTCTTATTTTGGCATATAACAAATATACTCGAAACTCTAATCAAGCTAAAGGTAATAGAATAATTATTTGAATGAATAAAGCTTCAAATTCCATCCAAATGTAAAGCGTTATCCCAAATAGCAGGATGCCGGGTGACTGATGACTCACAGGGAATGGCCAATATTCTACTCATGATAATAGCATCTTGTCATCAAAACTTTAACAAGCTGAAATTAATATACAAATGAAATGATGGCAAAAGAACAACAAGTACTGCTACTAAATTGCTAATTAACCTAGGGTTGAATCCAGCTGCATACAAGATAAGATGTTTTGCTAACATTTGTATGACCGAGCTAGCTCTAGCTATAGAGCTGGGTAATCCCTCTCATATTACATGACAAAAACTTCCATATCTCCGTTTCATTATCCTTCTCCTTATATCTCGTCGTATATATTAGTGCTATAATAAGCTCATTAATTACCACCGTGACCCAAATGAATAACATGGACACAGGTTGAGCACTAGTTGAACACGTCTCTCTTGTCCCTCGAGACAGCCGAGAAGTGCTTGAATTGATAAATATGCACACTTTAAGCGACCCACATCCCCCCAATTGCAAAGAGCAAAGAGGTCCCATGATCCTTAATTAATTCCCGATAAAATTAAAAAGAGAGGGTTCTAGATTAGCTTAGATCTCATTGCTCCTCAGCAACATTAAGGTTCTAGTACAAGCTTGTGTAATATATTAATTCTACTTTTACCAGAAACATAATATATTATATATTATTGATGATCATCATCACGTTATATTATTATATAATAGGCAAAGGAATAATCAATTAACTAAAAAGGTGCAAGCTTGCTTCTCCATTATTGGTGCTTCAGAATAAAAAAGATTCCAGCATAAAAAACAACAAGTGGAGTTTAGGGTTCGAGTTCTATATAGTGGAGCTGAGGCAAAACCAAAAGAAACCATGGATTAATTTTCTGAAACAGCAAAAGATATTTTCTTTACCCGAAATATCTTTCTATAAGGCCACGTACGAAGATAGATATTCCATGCCATGCCAGTGCCACATCATACAAGAAAAAAACGCAGTTTGGTCACTTTCACGAGCAGTTATGAATATGAAGTTATCCTCTGTTCCTCCATGAATGAATTAATGACCAAAATATACCAAGAACAGGATAAATACATAGGATGGTAGCGAGCAACGTTAGGGAGTTCCAGGTTCGAGAGGCCTTTGTTCCGATAAACAAGTCCTAGATTTGTTCATCAGTTTCAGTTGCAACGCCAACGAACGACTACAGTGAGTTACTTGGAATAAACAATAATCAGCTCATTGCCAAAGCTGGAAATTAAAAAAAAAACGGGAACCAAAGCTGATCCACCACCACATCTAAAAATAGTAAAGAAAGGAACCCCGAATTGATGGAGATACTTTCACTTGAGAGTTTAGTTTGGGTTAACTGTAAAATTTGCTGAATATTCACTGACCAAAACATTTAATAATAAACCACCTAAAATATTTAAAGCAACCACCTCCTCCTCCAACTTGAGAGCATCATCCTGTGATATTAAAAAGTAGGGGAGGAGAGAGAGATAGAGGACCATAGATATAGTTCCCAAAGATTTCCCAGATTTCCCTGTCAATATTTTATTACTCTTCAACACTGTTTACCCTCCCAGATTTATTCTCTTTATAATTACCCCTGTTTCCTTCATTCTCCTCTCTCTAAAGCAACCTTCAACGCAACTCCACTGCCCTGCCCCCATCTCCCCTCTTACTCTTTTCTCTTAGACCCATTTAGTTTAGTTTTCCTTCCTCTTGGGCAAGCTCATCAGTCCTGTATTGCAATCTGAATTCAAACTGATGAAGATCCAATGTGATGTATGTAACAAGGACGATGCCTCGGTGTTCTGCACCGCCGACGAGGCAGCTCTCTGCGACACCTGTGACCACCGAGTCCACCATGCCAATAAGCTCGCTTCCAAACACCAACGCTTCTCTCTTATTCACCCCTCATCAAAACAATTCCCTGTCTGCGATATCTGTCAGGTATGCTTGCTTAGATATATATTTTACCCATAAACCCCGAAAAAAGATCAGAGCTTTAATCTGCGATGATTGATGGGTTTGTCTTTGTTTTTCTGATTTGGGTTTCTTTATCTTGATCTACAGGAGAGAAGAGCTTTCTTGTTTTGTCAGCAGGACAGAGCCATTCTATGCAGAGAGTGCGACCTTCCGGTTCATGCGGCCAATGAACACACCCAGAAGCACAGTAGATTTCTTCTCACAGGGGTCAAGCTCTCTGCTACATCTACGCTTTACACATCTTCATCCCCGCCCACTGCAACAACTAGCCTTAAATCTGCTGACGCTACTGTTACTGATCCAAAGCCTCAACCTTTAATAAAAAAGTCTGTTTCTACTGCCTCCCCTGCAATTTCAAACCCACCTTCCATGTCCAAGAACTCAACTTTAACCACCAACACAGCCAATAGCAATAAAGGTGGTGGAATATTCGTAGCTCATGACGGGGTTGGTTGTGGTTCAACGAGTAGCATATCAGAGTACTTGATAGAGACGCTTCCGGGTTGGCATGTTGAGGACTTTCTTGATTTTTCTTCTGGTCCCCTTGGTTTCTGTAAGGTTTGCATCGATTGAACTAGTCTTGAAATTACCAAATTTGGGTTTTGTTAATGTTATAGTTAGTAAATTAATTGATTAGCCTGGATCTGAAAAAATTGTGCGTTATCATGGCAGGCTGATAATGAGACGGTGTTGCCGTTTATGGATGCTGATCTTGAAAGCAATCTGAGCTCTTTCTCATCATCAGAACATATGGGAATTTGGGTTCCTCAAGCACCAAATCCTCTGCATCAATACTCACAGATGGGTGGTGAGCTCATTGGATTCAATAAGGATGGCACAAACATGAAAGCCAACAACAGAACGTGGAGGGATGATAGCTTCACAGTTCCTCAGATCAGTCCTCTATCTGTTGGCTCCAAGAGGTCCAGACCTTTTTGATAGCTTCACAGTTCCTCACAGTTCCTTGGATCTTTTTGAAGTTAATCTAAACATGCGGATGGAATTTTTATTTGTCTTTTTTTGCGATTTACTTAGTTGGATCCTTTTTTCCCCACTTGTTGTATGAGCAAGCATTTGAAGCCTTCAACAACCCAGTTGGGGTGGGGGGTTTTTACTTCAGCTGGATCGGTCCCTTCTTCTCTTGCCCTTGTACTTGTTGCAGAAAGCAAATATCATTGTAAATATCAACTGCAGTTCAATTCTTGGAATATGTACGAAATTTGGAAAGTGGGGAAATTTTACGTGCAATTTCGCTGTGAAAATATGTGAAAATTGCAACATTAAATACTAGCCAGCTACAAGAGTAGATGGTAAATGATGATGGAGATGTTGACCAGTCAGATTGGGGGTGGGTAAGATGAGTACACAGAGGCCGGAAAGGGATGGTCCCTTGTTTTGTCTGAACTCTCCAGGGCGGCACAACTTTGCAGTGGCATTGTATCGTATCGGATCACGGGCACAGTGCACCATCACTTTCATTACGAAACTAGAAACTTCTTTTGGTTTCTTTCTTCTAGCAGACTTGGTCTAGGTCGAGAAAATTATAGTGGTACTAATTTCTCATTACAGAGAAGCAAAGTTTTAAATGATGTTGTTCCACATGTCAAAATACTACTGGTCCTCACTACCATTGTGGTATTCCGTCGTCTAGGTGCAGGTTTATGCAACAATATGGCCTCTAACACGTCATTGCAAACGCACGTAATTTTGTTGTTGAAATAGACATCAACAACCACCTTGGTGGATAATTTGACTGGTAGAGCCCAAAACGAAAATCTTGGTGGATCGATGGATGTGAAGTGTGAATGAATATCAGGGAGAGTCAACGCCCCAAATGAGAAACCTACAGGGAATGTCGACTGGATGGTGTCTTGTTATTTTTAGTTGGGTCAGAGCTAAGTGAGTGCGATCTGATCTTCAGCCTGGCTAAGTTCACAGCCGTGAGGACCCTATCTGTTTTTTTCCACATGCTAATCTCAAGCTGGATGGCCTTTTTCATATGATTCTCATGTTGCCAATCCTTACAGGGCAATTTGATCTTCCCGTCAATGGCGTTGAAAAATCTTATTAGGATAGAGCCTCTCTTATTGAGTAGAATTCCAGATTATTGTTTATTTCTCGATACAAAACCAACGCAGCATCTCCAGAAGAAAACTGAAATATTTATATTGGTGAGGCAGATATAAAGCAGTAGAAACAACTTTGGGTCATATACAAGGCGGAACCAGCTAACGTTGGTTCCTAAAATGAATAGAAAAAAGTTGGACAAATTACGTAATTCTAGTGCAGAAACACAGACACAACCCAAGCCAAATAAACAGGCAATCAATAGATTTAAAAGACTGCAGCCACCTTGCTAGCAAGAGCACGCTCCCGCCTTTCTACGTAGTCAAACGGGAACCAACCTGCTTTTCCCTTACATTCACCTTCAGCCCAACCGTTGTTTGCCACCTGCTCCACCACAACATTTAACTTCAATGAGAGAAATCAAGCCAGACATGAATGGGGTATATTGAGAACATAACAAAACAGCATTGAAATGAAGCAGGAAGAATGGCAGAACCTTCCGGACGACGACATAATCCCCAAAAGACAAACTTAACTCCACATCAGTCACAGCTTGAAACGTATACATAACCTGCAGCAGGTGAAAAAAAGAAACAATTAGTAGAATCTAAAGAGTTCAACAGACTAAAACTTAGCATCAACCACATTAACATAAAAATACCTCTCCTAAGAAATAGTCCCTGATGTCTGTCAATTCATCATAGGTTTCAGAAGAAAAGTTATCGCTGAGATCTTCATATGATGGTGGGGGAGGCATAGTGTTCTCTGTAGCTGGATTAGGTGATGCTTCAATTCGCTGGTGTTCTGACAACATCTGTGCAACAAATAGTGTCAAATTGTCAATAGAATAATACACAACCAATTGAATTGGGAAAAACATCGTCTTGTCCATGGCCTCACTAAAGGGACCATTCCAGGATAATTCATACCTCGCCTTCAAGTTGATCAAGTATCTGAAGAACGTTTTGATGATAGTTGCGCTCTGCTTCAACCTTGAATGGGGACAAAAAATGACAAACTTACAAAATTAATTTCCTTCCAATCTTGTAACTAGGACAGGCCAAGGCCTTAATACTTAAATAGGAAGGGGAAGGAAATGCTTTACCATTGCAAGAAGCCGCTGAAGAGTTAATCTCTGTTGTTGACCTTCAACAGCAGCCATTGCTGCACCAGCTTCTTTTCCTAATATTGCAACGTTAGACTTTAGTTCCTCAAGCTTGGCTTCAGCAGCTTCTAGTTTCATGATAATATCAGCACTACCAGCAGATTCTCGTACTTTGGCTTGGCGTCTGGAAACATCTACAGCCTATCTGGGTGCAAGTTAGTATACATGGACAAAGTTGTAGGAGACTGGACAGAAATAGAAAGAACAAGCAACGGTAAAAGAAAAAGAAGAAGTCCGTTCAGTAAAAATATGATCACCATGTAACATAAAAACTCAATGTAGTAAACATTGGAAGGAAACAGCAGATACTGCATATACCTGAGCTTCAGCTTCTTGCCGCATTCTAGCATATCGTTGAGCAAGATGTCGAGCATCCTCCAAGGGCGCTCCCACTACCATTGCTCTTAAAGGCTCTGCAACCTAGACAAACAGATTGAGAACCATGGAAAAAAGTTATTATGTAAACCTATAGAGAAAAATAGCGATACCAGTTTGTCATAAGATGCCTAAGAATAAGCACACAACACAACAATAGTCCAGTTCTTCAACCACAATATGGAAATGGAAATGGAAACAACTTATTCTGTGAACTTATTTCCAAATAATCAAATGCACGCAATATATGGCAACAGTTTAAATTTCCTCATGTACCAAACCGGCCCCGTTCAATATAATGCATTTGATTTTCACTTAATATTCATAGTATGAACTTCACTTAAACCTGTGTGCCAAGGGCTTTCAGTAGAATTCCACACTCTTTTTCAATTTGGGCACGAGCTCTTCCAAAACTCAGTGCAGCTCTCGATAATGTGTTGCCACTGGTGCAAGTTTTTTCAGCACCGTATTTCCTGCTATCTTCTGATAACTTGGTACCTGTTGAAAAAGTTTTATGCATACTAAGTGATAAAACTAACATGAATTTGTATCCAAATTCCCAAAAAAATCTCAAACAACACACCTATTTCAACTTGCTTTGAACCAGTTACAATATAACCTTCCACACCACGGACAATCTCCTTTTGATAATGCTGTTAAAGAAAAAAAAGATTGAGGCAACTAAGGTAATGTGATGTCATAATAATAACAATGAAGGAAGAGAAGAGTAGCAACCTTGGCAGCACGAGTTGATATGTAGAGTCTCTCAAGTTTTTGATGCTGTTGGAGTTCTGTTTCATCTGGCACAATATTATCCGAACCCCCATATATGCCACCAGAAAATTGTTTGAAGACAGCCTGACAGTATTAACAAAAATCAAAAGCAAATTACTTTCCAAAAATATTAAATTCAGAAATGAAATGAAGTGATAAACAGCACTTAGCTCAGAATTCACAAATTCAACAACATTGCAGCCACCGCCACCACAGCCCCCAAACAGCTCATAATTAGTAAAATGCTATTCGATTCAATTCAAACAATTATAGATTATTATTATTATTATTACCTTAAACTAAATTCATTGATAGCTCCACTAATCTCATATCCACGCAGATTATCGTTAATATTAATACCCATGCGGAGATTAAATTCCGGAAACAGAGAGTTTAAATTCGATCAAACCGGAACTGTTCTTCTTTTTGGTTTTCTTATGTTTTTTCATTTTTCGTTTTCCGGAGAGAAATGGAACAGAGAGAGAGAGTACCTGCTGCTGTTTAGCAACCTGATCTCTTAGCTTCCTGATTGCTTCCATCGACGGTTGCTTGATGCCTGCCGGACCAATGGACCTTAGTATGAAGCAGCAGGGTGGATTTGGTTCAGAAGTTTGAAATTCTGCTTCAAGACTTGGATTTGGAGGCTTATTATTTACTTATTTGTTATTTATTTCCCTTAATTGACTTCGTCGTGGTAATATTAGTATTACTACTTTTCCTTAAACTTGAATTAAACGTTACCTCCTCCAACTTCTGTTCACTTCGTTTCTTTTCTATATTTTTATTATTTTGTGTTACTTAAGATAAATCCCTCTTTTTAAAAGTACCTTAGCTGTAATAACTTTTCCAATCTGAACTGAAACTTCATTTTTTTTTTCTATATTTTCCATTAGGGTTAATTATTTAATTAGTCCCTAAATTTATACCCGATTTGCATTTGAGTATCTCAATTTTCAAAATGGTTCTCGTGGTCCTTTAACTTTAATTTCGTTTGGATAACTAGTCCCACTATTACTTTTGTCAATTTTTCTATTAAATACAGGGGCAAAATGGTATTTTTGTATCAAAATTGATTAAAATATGAATAAAAAGTTAAAAAACCAAAAAATTAAAATTAAACTATCTATCTCCCCTTCTATCCTGATTTCTACTCCCCCCAAACTTGATTTTTCTATTATTTTGGTTGGTTTTTTATTTTATTTTATTTTATTGTTATTTTAAAGATATAATTTTTTATTCATTTTTTTAGTTTTAATATAAAAATACCATTTTACCCCTGCATTTAATATAAAAAGTTAACAAAATTGACGGCAAAACCATTTGTCCTAAGGAAAGTGAAGTTAAAGCACCACGGGAACCATTTTAGAAATTGATGTACTCAAATACAAATTGGGTCTAAGTTTAGGGACTAATAAAACGATTAACCCTTTTTCATTATAACAAATATTTTGAAAATAAAATTATCTTTCTTCATACCATACCGCTCCTTTTGGGCCCATTGGGCCATACATCAGTAGGTAAAAAGTTCAACTTTTGCATTGGCCCATTCTAACTTTTGGTTAGCCAAAACGCAGTAATAATTGTGCTTTTATTTTTTACTTATTATCATACTGTATCTATAAGCATCAATTTAATTTAGGAACTGATTTCCCCACTCATCTTTTGTTCATTTACACTCCCTTATATGTTATTAGTAAAAAGGTATTAAAAAACAAAAGGGAGCTGATTTCCCCGCTCCTCTTTTGCTAACAATTCCTTTTGATGGATAATATGTAAAAACATAAAAAGGGCCTAAGATCCCCTTTGTAATGGGATGGTGTAGCCTCCTCTCCCCCTAAATTTTTAATAACAAAAATAAAATAAACGGAAGTGTAAGTGAACAAAAGGGAGCGGAAAAATCATTAAATGTGATAGTATATTAACTTGACATAAAAGAATGCAATAAATTGAATGAAAATTTCCCTCAAATTAGCTGAAGTCGTTAACATGCATGCAAATACAGCAGACATTGGACAACAACAAAAACGAGGTTAAAGGAAAGGAAAAAAACAAACTAGAAAAACAAGAAGGAAAAAAAGAAAAGGAAAGGTAGAGAGAGAGAGAGAGAGAGAGCAACAATGCTAGTTGCTTGCAAGTACCGAATAACCAGAAAATGAGTAGGTAACCCTTAATTTCATTACAAGTCTTTCTTAATCGTGGAGGATTAATGTGACTGTCCGAAACAAATGCCGTAGTAGACGTTAACAAGAGTGAATCAGGAACGACGTCGTTTGCAGTGAGCCTTGCACATATATTGGCAGTCATAGTAGCAAGGCCCTCCGCAGTGAAGAGGGCAATCTAATCTCATGCCTTTACACCGCCCTTTACGCATGCACTGTGCAAACTCCCCCACCGCATAATCAGCCTCATCAAACCTCCTCTTCCCTCCGTACACATGATCATGATCACGATGATGATGATGATGGTTTCTTGATCCACTTCTTCCTCCTCTTCCTTTACCACCACCACAACCCCATTTCCACCAACCAGCCCCTCCTCCTCCTCCTCCCCACCCCCACCCGCCACCACCACCACCACCACCACCACCTCCTCCTCCTCTTCCTCCTCCACCTCCACCTCCGCCACCACCTCCTCCCCATCCCCATGAGTAGCCTCCTCCACCTCCGCCTCCACCGCCTCCGCCGCCACCGCTTCCTCCTCTTCCTTGATGCTTGTTTTTGTTGTTGATAACAACTTGATTAGTGTTAGAAGGAGCAGTCTCGTTTCTTACTTGTCCATTTCCCGCGGAAGGAATTTCAGCAACAGCTGATGAAAAAGAAGTAGCATTGCCTTGAGACGTAGTAGTATTATTATCAGCTTTCAAACCAACAATGGCCATCGAAATAAACAAGATGACCCATAAACTTCTCACTAGTATTACTGTATCCATGTGTTTAGAACGTACGGTCGCTACAACTACGATGCACGGTAATTCGTACTTGTATATATTACTGCTCATATGTATATATATATATGAGTTGTGCTATTGACAACTAGAGGTTGCCCCCACTCTCTGAATTTGAACTTGAAGAGGAAAGGTAGCAACAGAAAGTGGACATGCCTTACGTATCACTTCTGTCCCCACCACCTACTACCTCTCTATATTTTTAAATTTGGCAACCACGGACACAGCCACTGAGCCACAGCCTGGACAATATTAGCTTAATATTGCTTGCAATAGTCTGCCCCATCTGCACATCATGCATGGTCCAAGGCGCCCACCTATACGGCTGGCAGAAGGAGCGCGTGCCGTATAGGCTTTAGGCTATAGAGATATTCTTTAGGGCCAAACCAAACCCCAGCTCTCAGCTGTTTAGTTCTTGAGTCGATCGCTTTGGGTTTGAGTTGAGCTTAAATTGGTACTCATTTGTCATCCAAGTCAAGCAATGTGCAATGATACCAGGCCACTAATACAATTTTATTCGGTATTAGTTAAAACTTAATTAAGTTGCCCTGACTTATCAAAATCTCTAACACCATATAATACTGCTTTCCCCTGCCCATGCGCGGGAGTACTATACTTATTGTCTTTTGCTTGCCCTTTAAGCCTGGAATTTTGGACAACCTATGTAACACTAGCAAGCAAGCAACCAAGCAAGCGTAAAGTTATGGTGGGGTCACATCACATTGTGGTAAATATACTATGGCATTGGCAATATATTTGAGATGCATATATACATATATAGCACAGGAGGACAACTTATTGTCATCATCATGCTTCCATTCCAACTCCTCCATCTTAAAAAATGAAAGGCTTTGGTTGCTTAAGCAAGTGATTTTGGGTTCAAGTCCTTATAGATGCAGAAAACTTTCTAGGAAGAGGTCACCGCATATGTGCCCGACAGTACCTTGTTGGATTAGACCTCGGCTATGCTTGAGGATATCTTGGGAAAACCAAAAAAAAGACACAGATTTTGGTCCCACTAAGCTCCCAAAAAACAGACAAAAAATGCTTTAATAATAACAGTGCACAAGCACTTTGGATAGAGTGCCGTCTGGAAGACAAAAGATGAAGGGTCATGCTAGGAAGACCAACTTGGGTACCAACTCTCTAATAGAGGTGGAGCCCACCAATACAATGGGTCCCACGCTCTATTAGAGAGTTGGTATCCCAAGTTGGTCTCCGAAGTTGGTCTCCCTAGCATTTTCCAAAGATGAATAGAGGTTCAAGAAACAATTTAGGGCTTGCTTGCTATAATTGAACCCTTTTTTCTCAAGTGTCCAGCTTTTGGGACCAAAACGATCACTTAAAACTAAGGAAGGAACCGACTGCTCGCTGGGCCACTACTAAGGAGGAGGGCTCGAGCACCGAGGCGAAGACATAAAACCAACCAATTGATTGATGGTAAAATGTAATGATGTCTGAGGATTTGGTGGAAAGGAGGCTTCGTGTCCAAGAGTCCTCTTTGTTTTTTTGGTCAACAAGAGTCCTGTTCCTTCAACTAATTTGGCATCTATCTAACTCAACTGTCGTTCGTTATAGAAATCAATGTTATTAAATTAATTAATTCTAATAATAAAGATGATCTCAACTCAAGTAGCTTCAGCTTGTCTTTCTCTTTGCACTTGTTACGCTTCTTAGTTAGAGAAACTTTGAAATAATGAGAAATACTACTAATTTACACAAGTATTATCTTCCTTGGGTTTGAGTGTTGTTCTGAAAACAGGGTAGTAAGAGTCAAGTTCAAGCTGCTCCAAGATCTGTTTTGTCTTCCAAAGATAAGAAGAATGGCCTTCAACAATTTGCGTCACATCTACCTGAAAATGCCAATTCGGAAAATAATCAGTTTCAACTAAAACACAATGCAAATATAAAGAGATTGGGAATTTAATTAGGGAACTTACATTCTCAATCCCAGGAACATCAACAGGTTGAATTCCACCTAAACCTTGAGAAAGTAAGCTGTACGAGGGAAACACCCTCAGTCCAATCAAAATTATATTCATGCCTTTTAAGATCAGTAGCAATCTGATTAATCTGATTTATAGTCATATACCACCCTCAAAAATACATAATGCTAAAACTAAACAAAGGAAATATGGCCTGTACCTCGCACGAAAGGCAATTCCCAGTGTCCAGTCACTTATAGAATAAGCATTCACAAATCTACCGGCTACCATCTGCGAGCCAGAGTAGGTTCTTGTAAGAACAGTAGCAAGAACTTGCACAGGATAACAATCATAATTGGGGAAAAAATAAAAACAGGTAACAGGAAATAGGAAATAGGTCTAGTGGTATTGTAAGAATGATACTACTGCAGCAGCACAACTTGCATAGGAATTTAGTAAACCAGTAATTATTATATATTTTTTTTAAGTTCAACTACCTTTCTAGCATCCGTCCAGTTTTCTTCTTCAATTGAAATTGGTGCTCCAAGCAGAACAACCCTTTCTACAAGACCAGCTGCAGAAATGAAGAAGCCAAATTCAATTTCTTTCTTTTTCATTACACTGCCACTCAACTTATCCACAATAGGATGAACTCATTGTGATGATTACCATTATCCCCTTCTGTTTCAGCCAAGCATTGGAGACATTTGAAAACTACTCTGGCCCCCAGCGAGAACCCTATGAGTGTCACAGGCCTGGACCATACATGGAGGATTTAAGGGAATGATACATATGAGTTTCAGGGCGAGATGGGAAAATGTCTTTTATAATGTGAGATTCTTCTACCTGTTTCCTTGCAGTCCCTTCAACAACACTTCAGCAAGCATCTTCCCAGCTTTGTCTGATCTGGCCAAGAAAATGGGGATGCTAAAAGTTCATATATTTCCCACTGCAAGTAATGAACACTCAAAATAGCAGTTTCATGTACATGAAATAAGTGCCACCTCGAGAGCAAGTTATGAGAAGAAAACTGTCACAAATCAAACATGACCACAAGGAAGACTTTTGCTAAGCAAAAGAATGAGGGGAGGAGAGCGCCAGGAAGAATTTGGCACTTTAAACGAATAACTTCATTCAGTATATCAGGATGAAATTTGTTGTATTGTATGTACTGATGAACTATGCATGACATAGTTGACTGTTGGCAGGTTAACGAAAATGAAATCTTGAATGGATTTGTTACTGTCCTCTACAGAGTTTTTATGGGGTAACTATTTGAAATAACCATGCTAGCAAAGACTAATAGGGTAGCTGACTAAGCAGATAGCCTAAAAATCAAATCTACTGCAGACCAAACCAAATAAAATGATGCCAAGTGAGATGGTGACATACATCCTTTATCTGAAACAAACATTAGCAATCAGCCACTATGCTTCTCATGTTTGGAAACTGCACCTCTTAATACAAGAATAACATGTGAAACGGAAACTCGAAACCATTATCCATCCGCATAAAGTCCCGTCCAAACAAATGAAAGATTACCTGTCCACTGCAACTGCCCATTTGCTATCTATAAGATCAGATGCTGTAACTACTGTTGCCGGCATAGCAAATGCTGCTAGAAGGGTGTTTAATACAGTCATCATGGCACCTTCTTTCATCAACTCTAAGGCAATTCCTGTGACAGTTTGCAATAGTGTTCGTCATGAAATCATAGATATGCAAATAGTTAGTCACAATAGGATGCAATACTTGTAAGGTTCAGGAAGTACTTGAAGTAAGCCAGTCTTGGATTGCAGTGCTCAATGCAATCAAATTCTTAGACTCCCACCAGAGGGCATACCTATACATTCACTACATTGATATCAATTACTTAGCCAGTCATCATAGTTCAGATCCTATCTAAGGGTTTTAAAAGAAAGAAACTTTCAAGTGAAGAATCACAAATCAATGGAAGGAAGATTGCAATAATCTTGGTCATAAATATGCCAATAGTCGATCACAAGAAGTGACAGTTCATAAGGTTATGGAAGTACATGATGTAAGGCAGTCTTTAATTGCAGTGTTTTTGTATTGTAGACATATGATGCAGGACGCGTAGGACCTAAATTTATTAGTTTCCTAATGTATTTGTTAGTTTCCTAGATTCTCTAGTTTTCCAAGTTCTAGTAGGATTTCTACTTTTCCAGATTTCCAGATTTCTAGTTTTAAGTTTCCTTTTTTTTTTGGGTTAGGATTTCTGTTTAAGCAAGGGATTTTTATCCTATTATGTCTAGGTTTTAGTTTGCTATAAATACCCTCATGTAGTTCTTTAAAATTGAGATTTGAATGTTGAGTAAACCTTTTCCTAGAACTCTCTGATTTCGTCCCTTCGATCTATATTTCTTCTCCTGGATCTCCGATATTCTTCTTGTTCTACTGTTTCTGTCCTTTATCTCGTCTTTTCGATCTCTATTTCTTCTCCTCGGTCTCTTATATTCTTCTATGTTCTATTATTTAAGTTCTTAATCTAATACCTACGGACTGTACTACATCAATATATATATATTTGAAATCAATTTTTTATTGTACTACTGGAAATACAATTTGAATTTTTTTACCTTTCCAAGTTTTCATTTTGACCTTCCCAAGGCCTTATAAAATCTTCATCCTCAAAAACAAGTCCAGAAACCAATATTCCCACTGCTAGCCGCTGAAAAGGAGGTTTGTTGTAAATGGTAAGCATTTTCATTCATACAGAGAAAGGTCCTGCTCAGCATAAATTCTCAATCTCTCACTACATCATCATGCTAATAGAAATCCCACTGCCCTTCTGCCCCCCTGCCCCCCTGCCCCCCC